TAAAGCCCCAGACAAGTGAAACAATTTTCTATACCCACATGCATATTAACTATTTTTTAATTTTATACACAATGCTATATGTAGGCGAAATGTCTACTAAACAGAGCGTAATCCACTTACTTCGCTCACAGTTGTTAATTATTTTGTTTCCAGTTGACTATTTTTTCTTATTTTAAATTAGTGGCAATTTAGTCAAACTAAATATTAAGCTAAAATATAATCAACAATGAGTGATTCTTGTGAAAAATCGATAAATAATGGCAATCATATTCACAGGGTGTGGTTGGTTGAGTGGTTAGTCAGGACTTTCTACTCATATGCCGCGTTTGAATATCCACATCGGATGCATATGAGATGGTTGTGAATTTTTTATCACGTGATAGAGAATTAGATCTGAATGTAGATGTAATAAACAAACGCTCTAGACTTTATTGGTCACGTGATAAAATGACAAGTTAGAAGTTTATACACAAAAATTAAACAAACTAATCACTTTTATATTCATGCTAGCATAAACAAAGGATAAATTGACAAACTTGGCTTCACAGAACACTTTCCGGCATGGAATGAACATCTCACTTCAAAGCGAGATGTAAAAAATGTAATCTGGACATGTACATCTCGGATAAACAAACGCAGACGTAGATGTGTCCGATGTGATAAACAAACGCTCGAGATGTAAAAAATGCATCGGATGTGGATATTCAAACTCGGCAATAGTAGACAGGAGTAATATATAATACATGCTATGACAGTGATTCATATTTTGTGATCCGAAAAAATGGTTTCGAATCACATCCCGTGAATCGGATTCCTGATTCGAATATATTTTTTGAGGATTCGTCCCAGTTTTTATTTATGTACCAAGGCTGATAAGTGTAACATAAAGGTCAAGTGCTCGAGACATGGAAATAAACTTTGCAGAGGTGCTTATATTTGCTTATTTTTTAAATACAGGGTGGCTATGTAAGTCAAACATCACTCACTCTGTACATTAATACTGACACTGTCCTTCTTCTACTTTTTCGCAAACAACCCGTCCACCAAAAAATGGAATTTTACCACGTAATTTTCCGTTTTTCCTTTGATATTTGATTTTACCGTTAAAATACCTAGAATATGTTCCATTGTACTTTTTGATCTAGGTACTGTCTAGAAATGAAAGGTTAAGTACTATTATTTGCACTTTTAGCGGTAGTGGAATACTTGCTTTTCTAAAGACAAAAATTTATAATTGCAGCCAATCTAATGACACTTATGTGTCTCTCCAAAACTTCCGCCTAAGCTTGCGAATGTATACTTGGAAGCTATATCACGATAATGCACTCAGCACTTAGTAGAAATCAACTTTTCTTTGGACACACTCCCTACAGTTTTGATCTTGCTTCCTGCGATTTTATATATTTCCGAAAATCAAGAATGAATTAAAATAACGACGATTTGACATGTGTTAACTGCAACTTGGGAAAGTGCATAAACGTATTAAACACGAGTTTATAAAAAATAGTATCCAAATGTCATAACTTTTACTCAAAGCCTTTTCAAGGAAAATAAAATTCAATTTCTAAACCGTCATATTAGACGGGATAGATACAGAATGAAAAAAAGAAGTCAAATATCTAGGCCTAATCCTGGACAACAAATTTATCTGGAACATACATGAGAAATAGTAAATAAGGCCACAAAAGCCCTAATGGTATGCAGGCACATTGCAGGCAAAATATGGGGATAAATCCGAACACACTGTGATGGATGTATACTGCAATAGTGAGACCAATCATCACTTACTGGGCCGTAGCCTGGATTAACAGAACTAACTTAGCTACTACGTGAGCTAATATCTCAAAAGTACAAAGACTAGCCTGTGTTTGCATCACCGGTGTAATGAGAACCTGTCCTACGGCCGCAATGGAGGTAATCTTTTGCTGATTTCATCACAGATCCCATCAAGAGATCTTGACTAAATGTATATGCCACCACCCCTGAGGTACCCCCTTTCTAACAAAAAAGAACCATAGAAATCGGACAACATGATAAAGAATTATCGCTGAACATACATGAAAAAAAATATTCCGACGAATTGAGAACCTTCCTCCTTTTTTGAAGTTGGTTAAAAATAAACTGCTGATAATTAAAATGTTAAATGGATTTGTTATTGTACTGGGCGTCTGACATTTATTTATTTAAGTGATTTATTCTTTAATTATTTTATAACGTAACAATACTTAGGAGCATTCCAAATAGAAGAAGGCAATTTACCTTTGAAGACACTCCCAAATCATACACTACCTTGAGATAATAGGATTGGAAGAGTAGTTATAGGCATCGAGACTATTTCATCGCTGCATTGGCGACAAAACAAGCACAATATATTATATTTTAGGTCGCAGTGCATTAATATCCCATACCCGACATAATAAACTTTTTTAGGTCCCTACCTACCATGTACTGTGGACTTTTTTTATTTTTATTTATTTGAAGGATTGAGTGAAAAGTGATTTGGATAAATTAGAGTTTTCATGCGAAACAACAAAATGATTTTTCAAGCTTTAACTTTCGCCGTAAAACGCACCAAATCACAAAGCATATAGATGTTCCACCAAGGTCATAACCGACAACTGATATTTCTTATATTACTTACTCCAAAAACTAGAGGGCGCCACTTTACCATATTTATGTTTTTGGTTGTTTTCTTAAAATATAAGTAAGGTTGTTGTGATTTTCCTGATATTAATTTTGTTATTTGGTTTGGGTTCATAGTTGTTTGTTAGTAATATGTAAAATTGTGAATTTTCTACTATGCACATGCTACATTGTAAAATTTGAGAAAAAATTTTCATTGATTCACTAAGCATCAATTTCAAAATAAAAAAAAAAAAAAAAAAAAAAAAAAAAACGCAAGCGGGTTAAACTAATTGATAATGAATTAAATAGAATGTGCCATTTGTATTTTGAATGGACATATTTAATGCAATACCCATTTGTTATCAGCTAATAAATATATTTATAAAATATGTTACATTATAATAGTGTTAATAAAATACGTCTCAGGGTAAGAACATAGTGGAACAGTTTAGGTCGCTACACTGCTCGTCTTGTACATTGCAATCAAAGTGCTGCAACCGACACTCGCCTCTTTAAAACATATCATAACAATTTTAATATGCCGTCCTTGAGACAACCAATCAATGAGCTAGTTTCAGACAGCTGACAGCAAAAAAAATTGATTTGTTTCTAATTTTACAGCAAGGTACGCGGCGATGTGTATGGCTAGGTGCATTACTCCAGTATGTTTTTACGTTTTACCAATATTATTTCCATAGCCGTGCGGCATGACCTGATTAACTATGTTTTTACTCTAAGTCTGTCTACTTCACATTTAAATATTGAGATTGTAAAGGTTTCAAAGTCACGGTAGGGGAAGCAAAAGCGATACTAGCGGTAGCTGCGGATAATTCGTGCATTTTAGGGCGATATTTTGTAATTTTGGCATATCAATTACACGTATACATTTTACATTTTTTTTTTTTTTTTTTTTTTTTTCAAAAAAGTAGGTAAAAACAATACAATAAGGAACCGGTGTTGCTGTGTTGAAAATTGTAAAAATACTAGCAAAAGAAACAGTGAAAATTATAAAAAATTTCAGTAGCAAAGTGGAAATTTAATCAAAGAAATAAATGGATAGGTTACAATAAGTAGAAAAATTACCTCTGATTTTGTAAATACTAGACATCAGAAACTTTAAAGGATTTAAATAAACAATAACTTATCATTTTACGATGTTCTTAAACATCCTTTTATTCTTAAATGTTCACCAAGGACTACATTTCAAGATTTCTGCCTTTGATTATTGTATGTGGTTGGAATGCAATTTTGTGACTTACCAGTTTTAATCATTTATTCCGTTTTGTTTTTTCGAACAAAATGAAAATACAGATAACAATCTTTCTGTTAATACATTTTAACTTCACGATATTATTTAATGGTATTTTTTGATTTTGACAGAATAGGTTAATTCTTCAAAGACGTCTTACTAGACTTAGGCAACTTCTAATACATTTTTCCGTAAATACTGTTGCCTGTCTATATTTTATTATTGATTATACTTAATTTTTTTTAATTTAAGCGATGAAAATATATAATAATAATAATAAATTAATGTTTTACTTGTTTTACAAATCCATATACTTTTATTAAAACTAACACTATATACTTTTTAATTACGAATTCTATTAAAAATTGTATTGTCAGTATACGCAGAAATTGTCCATTAGTACCTAAATAAATTAGCACTGCTGTCGCGCACGGAACGAATACCAGACCCGTTTTTAACACAACATTTTCGTTGTAACAAACAATTCCTCAACTTTGGCACCATTGACGTACGTTATATTGTAAAATAATATAAATTAAGTAGGATTGATTTATAATTACTATTAAAAATTGCAATTTGTCCATTGTCATTTCAGTTTTGATCCCAAACACAAGATGGCGCTAACTTGGATTAACAGTTAAACAATGGTGTGAAGTCTCTAGAGCAGCCACACTCAACCTGCGGCCCTCCAAGCTTTTCTGTGGCCCTCTAAGCTTTTTTGTGCAGCCCCAAACACGATTATTAGTAATTGAAATGGTTGACCTACAGTCCTGTCCTTGCGACTTTTCAAAGATTATTAAAACAACTAAAACAACAAGAGGACCCTTTTTTTGTAGAAAGTATGTAAATTAAAACAATATGAGAATACTTTTTTTTTAGAAAATATTTAAAGCGGATCTCTATTTTCACCCATTGCCCTGTATTTACATTTCAAATTTCAAAAAGGTGAGAACTCTAGTTATCGCCCAAAAATATTGTGGCCCGTGTAGCATAATAAACAGATTTATGTGGCTCGAAAGGAAAAAAAAGATTGCATACAGCTGCTCTAGAGGCCTAATACGGAAAAACTTTATGAACAAAAACAATTGTTTGGAATTATCGTAATAAATATGCAAACATTACTTACATTGCTTTCTGCTTGTAATCTAAGCCTGGCCTCTTCGACAGCATCTCTTCTAGCTGTTAAACCCTTATCCCGTAATGATGTCCGCCTAACTGATTGCGCCCTAGTATTACTTTGAGATCTCCTGACTTTTCGTTTTGCTTCCGCCTGTTTCTTTATTTCTTGTTCCGTCCTCAATTCCAATATCCTATCTTTTATTTCGGGATCTTCACAAATATCTAAAAAATAAAAATGAATTGTTACAGTACTTACCCATTTAAACTAGAGATGGGACTTTTCATGAAAAATAATTTTTGGACTAGTCCGACGGATATGTCTGCAAAAGTAGTGACAAGTAATGAAAAGTCACAATGAAAAGTGACCTTGAGCATAGAAGACATACAGTTAAATCTCCATCCTGGATGTTTTTTCAAAAATACTTTGGGAACAATATTTACATTTGTATTTTCGTTTTTAAAGCAAATCATTTGTAAAATACTTCGGACCTTTAGATTTGTTGGTAATTTTTTAACGAGTTTCACTTAATAAGACATGAAACGAAAATTCGAAAACATCGTTAAAACATTATAAAAGTCAGTAAATATTTGTCGATTCTTCTTTTTTAAACTATATTTTGCCTTTAATGGTAATAAATTCAGGCGAATCGGTTAATTTAATTTCGCGCATGTGCAATACACTTTTACACTTTTGAAAAAAGTATTTGGATTAGTACGTCGGACTTGTCAATGGACTTTTCCAAGCGACCCATCACTAATTTAAACTAAAATAAAGTTTTAACTGAATTTTTGATACTATTAGTATTATTTTATAGGAACAGTATTACTATTTCTTAAACGGTACCAGATAGAAGCTGGTTAAATTAGACAAAAGTTGCTCAGTTTTATGCTTATTAAAATGGTGAATGAATTTATAGAAATTACAATTTTCAATATTTGTCCGATATTTTGAATCTTCCTGTAGATATCAAGAGTTTCTTGGCACCATTTTAATGAGCACAAAACTGCGCAACTTTTGTCTAATTTAACCAACTTCCTATCTGTTACCGTTTAAGAAATAGCAATACTGTCCCTATGAAATAGTAGAGACCCTGTATAAGAAGCGTATTTTTAATGTACATACTTATGATTGTTATACAGTGTCTGCTATTGAATGCTTTAAGATCCAAGTGAAAACTATATACAGAGAGTTAGCATTAGTGTGAGAAGTAAACAAATAATATCAAGGTAGCCAGTCGTTCGCATTGCTGTGTTCCTATCAACGAGGTTGAATGTGCATTACACAGTACACACGGCAACGTTAATATTATTCGTTTCCTGCTCGCATTACTGACGACTCTCTGTAGTTTTCACTTCAACATTAGCAGATGGAAAGTGTTCAATGGCCGACACTATAGAATTTTTCTTAATTATCCGAAAAAAGTTGGTCGAGAAAAACGCAAATTTGTTTCTGGGGTTTTCTGAAAATTTACAAAACAGTAAATTCATATTTATTTCTCTATTTCAATTAATATTTTGATCGACTTGTTTTTCATATTTCAAAATATAATTTGAGAAACTTAAAAATATGGTCGTTCCACCATTTTCCAGTCAATTTTAAATAGTAAGCATTTTAATACAAGTTTCCAAGAATAAATTTAATTACAAAAAATACACCTATTTCTTTTTATTATCTAATCATAAATTATTTTCATATTGTCTATATTATCAATTATATATTCATTCAATTGACATTTATTAAAACGCGTTTAACTAAGTTTTTATTGTTTGCGAATAAAATATCAGGATAAACAAAATATTTACCTGACGGTGTTTCATCATGCTTGTTTTTGGCATTCAAATTTGCCCCAAACTGTGCTAATAATTCCAAAACTTCTGGCTAAAAAAAAACATTAAAACTACATGAACTGGATATATTTATTTGAACTTACGTGGCCCCAACAAGCTGCTGCATGACTAGGTTGCCATTCATCCTTGTCTTTGACGTCTGTTCTAACACCACATTCTAATAGGAACTCAACTACTGAAACATACCCATTGGCCGCTGCAATATGTAACTAAAACAAAAACACAGTTCAAGCCTAAGTCTAGGAATATGCAGGTACAGAAATGTAAACGCAGACCATCCATTTTACAATGAATTGGACAAGGTTATATTACAAACAAATACAGCCGCTGACTCCAACCAACACTCCCACTCGTTTCTAATAGATTTGGCTTAGATGGTCAGCATTTAAATGTCCGTATCTGTATATTATAAATTAAGCAATATGAAGAAATGATATGTAGTTGCCTTGCAGAAGAGATCGAGCAATAAAATTGCGTGATCAACATAATGTGTTGAGGGCTGGGTGATAGGTTATAGGTTAGGGGCAGGTTTTCGCAGATAATTATGGGATTATTATGGCAGATGAACCATGAACCGTGCATACTTGTAATAATTATTTTAACAAATAATAGAATTATTTATAATTATACAATTATTATTTATTTACAAATTTCTAAATATTAACAAACAAGAACGCAGCGACACAGCAAATATTGTGAACTAATAAACTAATTCCAAGGTTTGAAATAAATAGTTCAGAGCTAAGTTAATTTTTCGTTTCTTGTTAATTTCATAAACCAAGTTAGGTCTTCGTTTTCAATATGACATTTGGATTTGAATTAAAAGTAATAGTAAAATGTAATAATTACAGCTCGATAAGAGTAGCTTTGCTGGTAAAGCTGAGCATAATGAAGGAGAAGCGTATAAATACAATTGCTGCAAACAATGTTCAGGCAAATCCTGTCTTTTAAGTAAAATCAGATGCATAAGTTTTTCTAATTTACAATTACTTCAGACATGGAATCATATAGGTATATTAAAACATTTTCATAATTTATATTTTTATTCGAATTCTTTGTTTGGGGGTTTGCTGCGGAAATCGATTATTTTATCCAGTAAACCCATAAAGAAATAGTTGGAATATAGTCGTTTCTCGCAATGACGGTACACTATTCATTTTCAAAAAAGGCGATTCCCACAGTGAGAGGGTTATAGATAGAAACGTCAATGTCTGTTCAGAGAACGAGTAGACTAGGATGATGGCATGAGTTTTCAATCAAACTTTAAATCGTTACTGTTCTGGTTTTGAGAAATTACGATCCACAACTGTCGGGCGCATGCGCAGTAGATAAATAGCGTTCTGGTTTTTCTCGGATTACTTTGGATCTCCCAGTTCAGTGCTCTGGTTACATATCAGAAATAATCTGTGATTGTTGCAAACAGTCAAACTGTGTTCATGCTTTGGATTGTAGATTGACTCGGACTGTTTTGACCGCGCATGCGTTTTTGAAGTGTTACCAATATTTTATTTGCTTTTTAGACCATACAGAACATATTACAATACCAAATTGTTTATTTTTGTGTGGACGAATGTCTCTTGTTCTTGTTTTATTTGTAAATTATTGCAATTATAGAATTACTAATTTTTTAATAGTATTGTTACGATAGTTTATTTTAAACAACAGTTTATTTATTAATAATTTATTTAAACACTTATTTATTTTAAAACAAGACTATTCCAATTTATATATATTTCGAATGTCTTTAAACTGTTCACTATTTATCTTCACAACTGTTTTTATACGACTGACTGCCCCGTTGTTCCTCCACCAATATTTATATACACATTTAACATTCTGGTGGATTCTAGAATGCTCTCCGCCAAAACTAGAAACATCACATTCTACACCTGGAATGTACTCGAAAGCGTCTTCGCCATAGTCGTCACATATGTTTGGTCTTAAGGGGTTTAATTATGTATGATAATCGGACAAGTTGAGCCTCAAAGGACAAATAAGACAGAGAGGGACTTGGAGGATTAGAGCATAACTGAATAATGAAATGGCTCGCACTACAGTATTCTCCCGTTTTTGCTATTCCGTTGAAATGTGACGAGCATGATATGAGCTTTCAAGAGGAATTGCATTATTATAATAAACAAAACACCAAACGAACAATTCTGTTTAAATTTTATGTATTTTGGTTTTCCGACAATTTCAAACAGTCGGGGATTTTTTGCTTTGACGCACACGCTCCGGCGCAGAACAGACCGTATGAATATAAAATTTAAATAAATGAGGTTATGTTTCATCAAATCATTAACAAATTAATTATTATAAAATATATTAATATTTTTCAGGAAAACTTTTATGAAATCTATAGAAAAAGATGTAAATAATATCATATAAATAAAAATTTTCCTTGGTTTAATCAGTCATTGTTTTTATTTTTAATCGTTTCAGCGTGTGAAAAAAAAGATGGGGTTCTGTTATTTTAAAATTTTGTAAACTGTAATCGTCCCATTTTTTTTTTAATTTTAAATTTTGACTGCACCCGAAGATGAAAAAAAAATTAATTTCCGAAACGATTGAAAATAAAAACAATGACCGATTAAACCAAGGAAAATTTTTATTTATATAAAATTCTACTACGGTCAGGAAATTATCCTTATTCAAATAAATAATATCTGTTTAGCAAAATTAAAATAATTAAATAACAGTTCATGAAATATCGCTCAACTCTCAAAGACATTAATTATTATGACGTTTCTACATTTTAGATTTTATATGTAGGTAAATTTAATAATGCTTTGTGAATTAGCCTATTGAATATTAAAAAAATAACTTTAAACCAAAATTTTAGAGACCGCTATTTCTAAACAAACTTTTGTACAAGATTGTACTGATTTCACCAAGACGAGCAACATATAAATGAGCTTTCGACGTTTTGTTGTATGAAGTTTTTGCCACTGCCTACCCTAGGGTCACCCGCAAACCTACTCTTGTTGAACTGTAGCAATGAGAGCCTATTTCAGATATTGATTTTACATATTTTTTTAGTAAATTTTCAAATGAAAGGATAATTAAATATCATGCCACCTATTCGTCCAATAAGGAATAAGATTTTTTTTTGTGTCATCGGCATCGACTACTAAGGCCATTAGCTTCGTGTTCTGTGTAGGCTTTGTTACTGTTTCCCAGCGCCACTTTAGGAACAGCACTGTTAATTAGTACCCAACAGTAAATGGTCGAGTGGGGAATCCTACCAAGGTATCAGAATTAATTTTAAATAATTAAATTAAATGAAAAAATCCCGGCCAACGGTGGGATTTAAATGAAATGAAATTACTGAATGAAATATAGTTGAGTTTTTAGTACAACAACATTTATAACATTATTTTTATTCTGATACATACCGGTGTAGCGCCCTGAGCATCATAATAATCCAAATTTCCACCTGCAGCTGCAATTTTCTTTAAATCTGTAAGCATCTGTTTCTCAGTTGCCGCCCTAGTGTCATCTATAAGTTGTTGGGTAACCCCCCGTTTTGCCATTTCACTTTCGATGTAATCCAATGCAGTGTCATCTTCACAAATGTCATAAGGCATATTTCCATCAGCGTTGACGGCCAATAGGTTAGCTCCTTTTGTAATGAGAATTCTGTAAAAAATTCGTAATTGTTGTTAAAAGATTAGATTCCAGTATAAGAAATAATACAGTAGCGATAGTGAAAGCTTGGGTCGCCTCATTTGATGTTGTAGAGGTCAGAAATGTATTGACAGTTGCCTTTTTTTGCCGCTTATTTCTATAATGAGAAAAGTAACTGCAAAATATAAAATTGACACTGGTGACGCCAGGCCGATTCGTCAATCAGCTCGAAGAATACCAAAGGCCAAGAGAGAGGAAGCTGAAAGGATTGTTCGGGAAATGGAGGAAGACAGGGTGGTAGAGCCTTCTACCAGCCCATGGGTCTCTCCAGTAGTTCTTTTCCAGAAAAAGGACAGAACTACGAGGTTCTGTGTGGATTACCGTCAGTTGAACAATGTTACCAAAAAAGACAGTTATCCTCTGCCTCGAATCGACGATACCTTGGACACATTGGCCGGAAATAAACTACTTTCTACCTTAGACTTGAAGTCTAAATATTGGTAGGTGGAAATGGACCCAGTAGATAAAGAAAATACAGCTTTTACCACCGGATCTTGATTGTCAATGGCATGCCATTTGGACTACGTAATGCCCCCGCGAGATAAGACTTATAAAAAATGTATTGAGAGGGTTATCCTGGAAAACATGCCTGGTGTACTTAGACGACATCATAGTCTTGGAGAAGAAAAGTGTTCAAGCTGCCCAACTGATGCTAAACCCCAAGAAGTGCCAACTATTTCAAAATAAAGTTAATTACCTGTGTTTTATAGTCAGCAAGGATGGTGTGCTGTAGATAAGGAAAACGTCGCTTTTATCAAAGAGTGACCACAATCAACTGATAAACATCAATTAAGAAGTTTTCTTGGACTATCTACGTACTATCGAAGATTCATCAGAAAGTTTGCAGATATTGCTAAGCTGTTAACACGACTCACAGAAGAAGCGAGATAATACTGCTGGGACCAAGATTGCCAAACTGCCTTAGAAACATTAAAGAAGCATTTAACAACAGCACCAATACTAGACTACCCACTACTAGTGGATACTGATGCCAGTAATTTGGGAATTGGAGGAGTTCTTTCACATATTCAAGGGGGAAAAGAAAGAGTACTGGGTTATTTTAGTAAAGTGCTCTCGAAACCTGAGCGAAATTACTGCGCCACGAGAAGAGAACTCCTGGCAGTTGTGAAATGCGTGGAGCAATACCTATGGAAGGAAATTCTTAATCCGTTCTGATCATGCAGCCCTTATGTGCCGAATCTCTTTTTAGAAGACCGTGCCCAGAAGACTGCGTTCACTACAACAGAGCTGAATTCAAAAAAAGTAGACTACTAAGAAGAACTGTAATCAACAATGAGTGGGCCCTTGCCAAACTTAGGGAAGAACAAGAGAGCGATTCCGTTTTAAAGAAGATTCCACAATGTAAAGAGGAAAATCGTCGACCTACATGGAAGAATATATCAAATCTCTAGTAGTTAAGTCATATTTGGCTCAGTGGGACTCCTTTAGGTTTATTAAAGCGAGTACTAGAGAATGATGATGGTTCCGAAAACAGAAGATAGTTGGTAATTCCAAAGACTAGAGTAGCCGAAGTACTTCATTAGTTACACGACAGTTCATCAGCAGGACATCTCGGTGTTAAGAAAACCCTTCAGAGAGTTCGTGAAAGGTTTTATTGGATTAACAGTTCCGATGATGTAAAGGACTGGTGTAAGAAATGTACCAACTGTGCTATTAGTAATGGCCCCCCTTCGAAAAAGGAAGGCCCCCATGAAGCAGTACAACGTAAGTAGCTCATTTGAGAGGATTGTCTTAGATATTGCTGGACCATTTCCCATGTTTGAAGATGGTAATAAATACATGATGATGGTTATGGATTATTTCACGAAGTGGGTGGAAGTCTACGCCATTCCAAATAAAGAGGCCGCAACTGTTGCAGACGTGTTAATAAAAGAATTCATCAGTAGATTTGGAATGCCTTTGGAGATCAACAGTGACCAAGGCAGAAATTTTAAAAGCCAGCTTTTCCGAGGAATCTGTGACAGACTAAGCATGAAGAAAACCAGAACTCCACATATTCTACATATATCTCTAAGTGATTTAGGTGTCTTCTAAGGTCGCAGTGTCCCGTAAAGCGTCCTATTATGGCCTTGAGTTCGATTCTGCTAAGGTTTAGCAGTTGATTTTGGCTGCTCTTGGATGGACCCTCTACGAATATTTTGGACTGTTTAAGTCCAGGAAGTTCCAACCAGAGCCTATAGTGTTCTCTATTTATTTGTTCCGTTAGCACCCATTTAACATGTTGGTATGAGATACCACATGTGGGTTTTGGTCCAATAAGAGTTTTTTCAGCTCCCTTCCTTGCTAGGAGGTCTGCTTTCTCGTTTCCAAACACTCCCTCATATACCGGCACCTATTCAAGGGGGACCTTGTTATGTTCTGCCAGGGCCTAGAGGGACTGCTGGCAATCAAGTATTAATTTAGATTGTACTTCTACCCTTTTCAGTGCTTTAAGGGCTGTTTGAATGTCTGTCATTATAAAAACCCTCTTATCTCTAAAAGAGTCATTTAGCATAACTTTGGCGCAGGCATTTATTGCTGCTACTTCAGCCTGGAAGACTGTTGACAGTGGCCCCAGGTTCAGACTAATTGTCAACCTTGAGTTTACATGGTAAATCCCAGCTCCTGTGCTGTATACCAGATTGATTCGTTTTGTTTTTCCCTATTTAATCTGATTTTTGCCCTTTCTGGTATTTGAATATTGAAAGGTTTCCTGAAGTCATGTATAATAGGCGTTCTATCCTATGGTATTCTCAATACCGGATTTTGTTTTGTTTTTGTTTTACGATTAGTAAGTTTACCTGCAGTAAAATTATTTAAAATCCTAGACGCCTTGATTGCATGTAGGCGGTACATACGAAGTGCTGTTCTATTTCCGCGAAGTAAGCGATGATATTTTTGCAATAAATTTTGTCTGCCATTTCAATCTAGTTGTTTACAAGTTTAGTTTTAGGGATTATTTGAAACTTCTTTAGTCAGTTTAAAACTAAAACTATAACCTTAAAGTTTGTTTATATTTTTATTTTCCGACGTTTTGAATCTTCTGTGTTTAAAATCAAACCCGGCTTTTCGAAAGCATATTAAACTAAGCTTCCACGAGTTGATGTTAGCATGGTGATGAAGTTTTATGCAAATAATATATAATTTTTAACTGGTAATATTTGGAAATATTGTAACCATTTGTATTTATTCTATTGGCTGCGTACGAGAGCGAATAATAAACAACAATAGTATTTTAACACTAATTTAAAGGTTTCTTTTTAGACAATCAAAATCTTTATTTATTGAAAATATGATTAAAATTGCTGATGCGTTGTTATAGTTAGCTCTACAAAATATATAATAAGAATATACCTGACTAATTTAAGATGTCCGCAGGTAGCAGCAGCATGTAATGGCGTCCATTTTTCGCTGTCCTCAGAGTTGACGTTAGCACCATATTCCAGCAAAAGCAGTAACATAGATTCGTTGTCGTCTATACAACATTGATGTAAAGCCGTAAGACCGTCTTCATTACAGGAATCTGGACTGACACCCTTCATTAATAATCGGCGAACTATAAGAAAAAAAAACCGTTGCTTTTAGTACATATGGACCACCGTATTATAAATACTGGGACGGACGCGAAGGGTAAACACAAGGGGTGAACCACTCCTGAAATACTTGTACGTTTTCACTCGAAATCGCTTAAAGTCCCCCTAAATCTAAGAAATCATCACGGAAATCCTGAAATCCCTACAGAAATTCCTAAATCGCTACAGAAATCCCGAAATCATGGCCAAAATCTCTAAATCATCACCGAAATTACTTCTAAAACAATACTTTTAGTGCGTTGAAATCAACATGAACCGGGGAATCAGTTATTGTTGCCCAGAGTCCGGGTTTGATGATCCGAGTCCGGGGTTTACATTTAATTTCTCCCGGGAGAGGCCGATCTGAAATAAACGCAGCAGGTGGATAAAAAAACAAATGAAGAGCAGAAAGGTCATCTGAATATTCCTCAAAATTATTTCTCTTTCTCTCGAAATAGTACAATAATAATGAGCATTCAATGGAAATTATATAATGTGATGATCATATAAAATTAAGTGGGATTTCGACGAAATCGCCGAATTCATACGAATAACCAAAAATTCGCATGATTTCGGAGAAATCACCCATGGTTCTATGTAAATTTGATGATTTCGCAGAAATAGCTCTTAATTTTATACGATTTCGGTTCGGTTCCAGTGAATGATGTATATATTTTTTTGGATTCTTCACTTGATTTTGATAAATGTTTTTTTGGGGCTCTTCACTTGTTTTTTTATTCACCACCTACTGCGATTATAATTCGGAGCGCAAAATTCATTTCGAAGTGATTTCGGGCACGATTTTTGTTTGTGATTTCGGGATTTCAGTAATGAATTCGGAGATTTCGAGAGAATTTGAGGGATTTCGTAATGATTTCTAGTGAAAACGTACCAGTATTTCCAGAGTGGTTCATCCCTTGACAAGGCACTCTAATAGCTGATAAAAAAAGTTACCAACTAATCCATTAGTAAGCTTAATTAGGAGGGTACTATCGCAATGGTCGTTCTTTTACTAAAGCCCTCTAATACACCAGGTGACTGCGAATAAACTTCAGGTGGCTTTATTTCTGGTAAAATTTAAGTTAAAATCTTGAATTTTTGTGGCATGAGACAGTGTGTAATTTTACTTACTTTTATCTCACTACCCCTCCCCACTTCACCCCAAGTTACACTTAAGCCAACATTTTCAATAACACCCTGTATATAATAATAATATAATAATACTCTCCCTAATTCACCCCCTTACGAGTGAATTTTAACTCCAAAAGCTGAGCTTGTGCGGGGAAAGGGACGGCTATTATTATTATTATTTGCCGTGGCGCTCCGGGGCGACTTAAAGATAATTGATGGTGCCATTTGACTTACAGGTGAGGAAAATCCGGAAAACCTCACCCACCATCATCGAGACGGTAATGCATGGCGATTTTATAATCTGCATGTCATATCAACAGAAATTGAATTTCTATTAATACGGCACACATCAAATTCTATACCGAACCATGCAATTAAATTAAAAATCCACATGTTCTGGCGTAGGATTCGAAGCCCGTCTGTCTCTGACCAGAAACTTGCCTATAAACGAATATAAGCGCGTTAGACCGCTACACCACCGACCCGATATTATGATAGAGCACTTTTTTAAGTACACCCATAATAAAAAAAAATTACGAGTTACATAGTATACCTTTTGAGATATTTTATTTTAAAACGTTGAAAGAATATTTTTATTCATTGCGAAATCTCGAGCTGTCCATGGATAAAATGAATGTGGAATTATGCCCGCCTATGCACCGTCTCATACCCCAAAAATTCAAGATTTCAACTTAAATTTTATCACATCGAGTTTTCGCGAGGACACCCGGTATAGACATATTCTTAAAACATCCATTGTAGACAGGGTGAGTCGGGAGGAGCGCACCAAACTCTAGGAGTATATTATACACGTGAAAATAATGTAAAAATTCATATGTTCTTATCCGATTTCCATTTGTTTTCAAGTTATGGCGTAATTAAAAATGTTCATCTAGCTTTCCACTTCTGAATTTTAACATTATCAATGTATGCCATATGTTCAAGGCTCAAAGGCATTTGATAATTCTGACGGTTTGATGAACTGTCAGTGTACAGTGAACAGTAACTGAACGTTTAATTTCGAATTTATGTGATTGTTGCAGAAAATGTTTAGAAGTCAATGGCGGTATTTTTAAACATTTATTGAAAGAACGCTATGATTAAGAGAATTTTTATGTGTAAATTTGTTTATTTGTTAATATGCTATAACTTGAAAACAAATGAAAATCGGATAAGAACAAATGAGTTTTTTTACATTATTTTCACGTGTATAATATACTCCTAGAGTTTGGTGCGCTCCTCCCGACTCACCCTGTATAGTAAATACCTTCAATGTATATTAAAATAATTTATCTAAGTGGGATTTTCGAAATACTTCAATTAACTTATATCTATTATTTGAAAAACATTATTCACAGTATTAATAATTGCACTTTTATCACATAATGACTGTTTTTTTTTGTACAATTATGTTAATTACATTTATTAATGCCTTGTTTTAAAAACAAGCGATCACTTGTTAATCCAGTATCTATTCCTCAATTATTTATATTCCTACAAAAAAACTTTACTTTCAAAATAAAATAATTATCGGTAGAGTAATGAAACAATGAAAAACTTCCGGGAGAAAAATTTTAAAGACTAGATTTGAGAAACCTAGATATTCGAAATAATAGAAGAAAATTCAGAAGAACAATGAGCATTTAACAAGTACACATCTTTATAGTATTTTTAATACAAATCCCGATGCACGTCAGCAATGACGTCGGTCATTCGTCATAGTATTACCAACTAATTAAAATGTCCCTAACTAAGCTAATAATCCGAAAATGTCACGAATATTTACGAGCATTCATGAACGTAGTCATATTACTAAAAAACCGAAAAATGTAATGGTGATTATTTTGATAATTTTAGAATTATTTCATTTAATTAGCTTATACACGTCCTATTCTTGATAATATCAAATTTATATTAATATTATTACATGATTAGTATCCCAAAAACCATACTTTATATTAAATAATTTTTGACATTCTGTACGCCAATGAAACTCGTATTTATATACACAAAATGTCATTACGGCAGTTGGTATACCTTGTTGCTGTGTTGCCGTTAGCTTTTTAAAACAATTCACCATTTAGGTTATGTTTACAAGTTGATTTTAAAAGTAAACATAATGAATTAATGCTGATTAGTTTTCTTTTATTTCTATATACAAAATGCCAAAAAACTAAAAAGTCGTTATAAGGAGCATGTAGCTTCGTTATATAGCATTTTGAATGAGAGTCTGATATAATTTACCTTCAACTGCTGTAAAAGTGTTGTATGAGAAGTAAGTTAAACATTATAGAAATGTATATAAATATGAAATTGATTTATTATCTGTTTTAGTGTGTTGCAGCAACTCTAAATATTTCTACTGTCAGTAGTATTTCGCAAGCAGCCAAGAACAATGAATGAATAAAATTGCCACTTAAAAAACGTTCATCTAAAGAAAGGATCACTAACACATAACTCTGGATACAAGTGGAATCCGAAATAAAGACAAATCTATTTATCCAATCAATCATATATTCCTAATAAAAGTTTAATTTGTATACCTATTTACAGTAATATAGATATTATTATTTATTCATTTTTATTTAATATTAAGTTTTACGATACTCCCTATTTCCCCCTCCTTAAAATGTGAAAATTCAAAAACCTTGAAATGTGTCATTATTTACTAATAGTGAGTAGCTACAATTCTAATTTTCAAGTTTCTACCTTTAAAAATCTGATGTGTCCAACACATGACTTTCCTATCTAGTAATATCGGGCTTTTTCGGTTATTTTGTACAACCTATTGTAGCACCTCTGTAAATATTTAGAGGTTAACTTAATATATACATTTTCCACATCTGTATCTGCAATGTGTGGAGGGTGGGATAACCCAAGGCACTCAGGCCTCATTAGAGGCCCCTGAGAAGATAGGCACCTCCTAGCTCGTGAGCCAGCCTACAGATTTAATGTAGTTGACAACGTCGCCAGGAGGTGCTTCTCTTATATCAACCGGTGTTAGCCGATACTCGCCGAACACAAATCTTCTAATAAATGAGAGCGTCAAGCAATCGTAAAGGATATCCTCGATGGTCTCATCTTCTTGTTCGCACCCTCTGCAGAGTGCGGATTCTGACAGCCCCATGATACGGAGATGCTTTCGTACTTGGCAATGACCATTCAGAATGCCTGTGACTAGGCGCAGATTCTGTCTAGTCATAGACAAGTATTTGTTTCCTGCAGTGTTGTCAGGATAACTTAAGAGCTCCCTGGCAACTCTGCAGTTTCTTGTTTCATCCCATCTTTCCTTGCATTTCACAAGGGAATGTTCTTTGATTAAGTCTGTCACTACCGATTTTGTCAAACCAATAGAAGGGCCAGGTCCAAAAAGTATTTGATTGGCTGCTTTCTTGGCTAGTGAATCAGCAAGACGGTTAACCTTCGATGTGGCGTGACCTTTAATCCATCTTAAGGTGACCACGTTGTTGATGGATACTTCGGCCAAAGCTTCGTGACATTCTAGTACTAATCCTGAATAAATTCGTGGTCTGTTCAGGGTGAGTAGTGCTTGTCTGCTATCTGTATAGATAAGCATGTTCCTTCCAGTGATATTGTTTCTGGCTATTTCTTTTGCTGCTATGAGAATTCCCGTTAGCTCTGTTTGAACTATACTGGCATTATTGCTCACAGCCCATTTTATGTTTAGGTTTAAGAATCTGGAGTATATTCCACATCCTGAGCCTTGTTTTGTTTTAGAACCGTCGGTGTAGATATGAATCGTACCTGCCACTTCTGGCTCTTTTATTTGTTCTATTATAACTTTATATGGCTTATGAAAGATATATTTTGGTGAGATGGAGTCCATGTTCGCTTGAAGCAGTGGGAGCGTATCCAGCGCCTCCTGCTAACAGTGACGTCTCGCCTCACCAGATCCTGCATCAGGTTCTATTCCGACCGTGAGGAGGAGTGTCATTGTCGTCAGAGCAACCTCCTTAATGTAAATATCAAGGGGAGTGAGACTAAGAATGACTTCCATGGCTCTAGTCGGTGCTGGCTCCTGTTATGTTGAGACATTTTCCACATACATCTAACTCGAAAATTTTGAAAAGTTTATATTTTATAATTTTCATCCAATTTTCCATTGTGGTCCATTTTAGAGAAATCATGTAAAAAAAACAAAAATTAAAAATTTAAGTTTATAATGAATAATTCAACATTAATAAAAACTCCTATTTGTTATTTCAATAAAGTATTACTTTCATAATTTGTGATTTTTCACTTTCTCCTTTACCATTTCCCACAGAGCCACCCCCGAGCGCCCCCGGGGAAGTCTAATGCCAGAATTGAATTCGGCATCCCCGAAAACCCCCGAGTAACGATTTTGTAGTGATTTTCATGGACGCAGCCATTTTCCCCCCAATCACCCCCAGACAACCCCACAGAGCCACCGCCGAGGAAATCTAATGCTAGAATTGAATTAGGGGGGGTGGGTGGCTCAGTGGTAGAGTCTCTGTCTGTGGATCCAAGGGTCCCAGCTTCAAATCCTACCGTTGGCCGGGATTTTTTATTTAATTTAATTATTTAAAATTAATTCTGATGCCTTAATAGGATTCCCCACTTGACCATTCACTGTTGGGTTCTAATTAACATTGCTGTTCCTAAAGTGGCGCTGGGAAACAGTAACAAAGCCTACACAGAACACACATGATTGATAATTTAAACACAAAACTGAGACTGGCATATTAGGTACATACACCTAGGCCATAAATCGAAAAAAAAAAAGCTTACCACGAAATATATTTAGAAAAATTGTATAATGATGACAACCACATTTATGACAACGATTACAACTGACATATTGGTTTGTGTCACAGTTATGGTAATCCATGTACCACAGTGATACTACAACAATGTGGTCTTGATACTTATTAATAACAAAATTCTGCAAACTCGATTGGTGTGACATAGGATTTATATTCCTTTTTAAATATTTCAAAAAACATATATTATATAGAAATGATGCTTACAAAGATTGCGAAATCTGTGATTTTTTTTTATTTAAAATGGATTTCGACGCTAGACATACATGGAATAATTATAAAGTTCGAAATAATCTTATCTACATTTATGTCATAATTAGTATTCAATGTGTTCGTTGTTTCTACTTCTGTTTAAACTTAATTAGGAGATTTAGAGAAATGCCTGAGACTTTTCATGTGAAAACTTCACTTTCAAACATCACTTTCACTAACATTTACGTAAACCTGTTTATTAGGCAATGATAGATTTATCGGTAAAATGACAATAAGCATTAAACAAAAATAAATTCAGTTTTTATTTGTAAAAACAGGAATTTTTTTCTGTGCACAAATGTTTATGCGTTATTTTTTTTTCCTGTAAAATTAGAAGCTAATCACATATTTTTTATTGATAAAAACCGACTATCTTTGTAGTTTTGTATTGCACTTCAATTCTGAAAATCTCATTAAATTTGAATCCTACATACCTTCATCTATATCATTTCTTGCAGCAGCTTCCAACAGAACCACGCTATCATTAAAACAAATCCCCCTTTTGTTCGATTTTGGTTGCTTCCCATTCTTCTTTCCGTGTTCCTTTTCCTTCGAAATCCAAAACTTCAGTTGCAACGTTCTTCTTTTCCTCGCTAGGGATAGTCTGTCTTGTGTTGACATTCTTTCCACGATGGGCATCTCTTCGATCAGTTGCTGATGCTCCATGATAACGGTTTTCTTGGTTAACTAGGAATGTTATTGAGAACTTCAGTCTTTACTGAAAACAAAAATGATCAATGAAAACATGCTGTGGTATAATACATACATTTTTAAACAATTTTCAAAATAAATTTGCCCCAAAAACTCAGTTTACAATAAAATGTAATAATGCTAAAAATAAAAAAGTTACAGAGTGAAACATCATTACCATATATACTATCTTATTACACAAAAAGGTATGTATTCGATTACATTTTCATTAATTTATTTTAAAATATTTTGGAAATAAAAAAAAACATGTTTAAAACTTAACTAAAAATCATTATTTTTGTATGTACCTACATATGGATGAGTACTACTTGGTGTAGAAGTTAGTAATACTATTTTAGTAACACCCAGTATATCTTGCATTAACAAATCAAGATATTAATTAGATAGGTTTAGAAAAATAAACGATAAGCAAGGATCTTATAAAATTTATCAAGAGTACAGAATACATACATGGATTAAAAACACTAATCTGGTGGTTATTAATAAAATATCAGTTAAATATTTATATAACTTTATCACTTTGATATCAATTGACTATTACGCTTACATATATCGAATTGCTTAAAAAATGTAATAAGAGACATCTTATAAAATGATAAACATAGACTAAAATTCTTTAATATAATTCAATACATCATTTTATAGATATAAAAAAAATCATCATTCTATTTTATATGCAATAATGATGACCACAAATATTTGACATTGAAATCTAGTTAGTCGCTTATAGATGTTAACTTTCAATATTACTATTTATAGATCTTTTTAACAGGTACCTAAGTAAAAATAATTATGAATACTAATCAATATTAAACATTTTTTAATGTATGTTATACGATGGGATGAATAATTCCCAACCTAAGAGAGAGAAAAAAACTAAATACGCAGTCAAACATTATTATATGTCGTTCTTATCTATGGACCGATTCGGAGACTATAAAAGCCACGATATAGTGGATCTCTACCTGCACCCTGAAAAGGAGAACTCCTATAGGAGGGAATTAGGAAAATAAAATGGACTAGAAAAATGTAACTTAAGATAAAGTCAATATTAAACTAAGTGTTTTCGGCTAGTTCCGGCCTCTAGTTTTTTTTATTTTAGTTATGACCATTGAAAATGATGTAATAGACTCGCCTAAAGTAGAACCCAGCTCAGTTTTAAATTCCGGGGCCTTATTAACTTGAAAATATTTTATGACAGCTCGAATTTCGAGTTTCTCCTTTGTTCAAAAAACTGAGAACTTATTTAGTATAGCAGCCTGTCAAATACAAATCAGTGGACATAAACTTACAATATTTCACAGATAAGCCAATAGCATATATGACATTAAATAATATTTATCTATAAGAGATAGAACATTCATTATGTATATTTTTCTCTACTTGCCAAAGTCCATTCTCTAATTTATCCAATATAAGTTTACCGGCGCCACTTTAGGAACAGCGAACAGCATCTTTAATTAAGAAACAAATAATTATATCGGCTTAAATTATTTGTAGTTTCAATGAATTAATTAGATTTGAAAAGAATAATAATTAGAACATTGCATATACTGCGTATTGATATTTAAATTAAATAAATATTTTAAAAAATACTCTACACGATACTATTGGAATTGTTTTGGATCATAACCTAACTCACTATACAAAATATTTTTCTAGTGAATTAACATTTAAAAGGAATTCTACTTGCTTTTTTATCTTGACATAAATAAGCCCTGAACAAATATTATGTTTTCATGTATGAATGAGTATAGTATCAAAATATTTTTAATATTTTTCCTAAAATAAATAAATATAACAATATCTATTTATTTGGAAAGTAGGTATTTGTTTCCTAAAATAAGACGGTATTTTTAATTTTTGATTTCCACAAAATATCGGAATAGAAAAATACGCACTGCTTACATTATATTAATGTAAAATATTATCAAAAAACTTAAATATTAAAAACTATAAGTAAAAATAGATTTGCACTACTTTTTACATTTTTGTTTAATCATTTTTTTTCTGTTATTTTTGGATAACATTTATATATATATTTTGTGAATATCATTATTTTATTTATTAAGTACTATAACATGTACATTTTTAACGGTTAAAATGCCAGTATACAGGAATTTAATATTACATATTGGTATTTAGGACAAATATTATATGTATCTATTTTTAAAGGAAAACTCGAAACCCTTGAGACAAAAAAAAAAACGATATAATTCCAGGCCTGTTGCGGTACTAGCCAAAGGTCATCGAGTTTTTTCATTTCCTTTTTCTTTTTATCTATTTTTGTTTAAATAATACATCAAAAATTTACTTTTCAGCTTACATACTCGTACTATTTTTTACTGCAGCTTTCTTTGTACATGATTTCCCTAAAATGGACCGTATTTGAGATATTTGAGAAAAAGTGCAAATTTCGAATTATTAAGATAACTCAAAAACGAATAAAGAGAAAAATACCAAATTTTAAATTTAAATTTTAAGCCATCCTGCGGTGAGCTGATTACATTCTGGGCATAGTCAGAACATTTGTGGGGCTACTTTATAGGGGGGGTCGTTTTTCTACTTTATAGAATATATCTGTTATTTACACTAGGAGAAGAAAATTCTTTACATAAAAGTTGCTTGTAATGTTATTCTCTATACATAATTTTCTATAAATTATTTTCCTAAAATGGTCCGTATTCGAGAAATTTGGAAAAAGAGCAAAATTCGAATTTTTAAGAAAATTGTTATTCTCTATAATTTTCATGTGAAGACTCACGAAATTATTAATAAATAATTTATAGCCATATTGTTCGAGCAATCTATTGTGGTGTAAACGGTTAGTTTTGCAGCGCTAACAATATTTCTCCCAAACGTGGTCATAGAATTTCGTCCATTTAATTTCACCTTGTACAAAACTAATTGTATTGAATGTAAATTGCGTTTGTTAAGAAAGAAAAGCGGCAATAAAAAACAAATGCAATTGAATTCATATTCGAACACCTCGAGAGTAGGTATTTGCTTTCACTTTCTGTACCATAACATTTTTAACGCCTATGCTAACCAACCAGTTCTGATACTCACGTGTTCAAATTATTATTAGTTTGTATTGGACGATAATTAAATAATATAAAGATTATTCATTTATATCGGTTAAACAATCGTTAATATAATATATGTGATTATTGAATGTATTATTTAAAACAATTAATTTTTCTTCGATCACTATCAAAAGTAGGATTTGACAGCTTTTTTCCTCTAGAGTTCTGTAGCTCGCCCAATTTTATTTAAGAACGTATATCAAAAAATCTCGGAACTATTATATCGCTAAAAATTTAAATGCATACCTTGTGACGTTATACCAGTTAAATTTGATAAACAGTGCAAATTAAATTTAAGAAAATAGTTCAAATAAAAGCTGCTAGCGATGTCATTTTTTATAATTCTTGTCCTATACATGATTTCCCTAAAATGGACTGTATTTGAGATATTTGAGGAAAAGTGCCAATTTCGAATTTTGAAGATAACTCAAAAACGAATAAAGGGAAAAACACCAAATTTTAAATTTAAACTTTAAGCCATCCTGCGGTGAACTGATTACATTTTGGGCATAGTCAGAACATTTGTGGGGGTACTTTATAGGGGGTCGTTTTTCTACTTTATAGAATACATGTTATTTACGCTAGGAGAAGAAAATGCTTCAAATAAAAGTTGCTTGTAATGTTATTCTCTGTAATTTTTGTCTTATACATAATTTTCCTTAATTCGAGAAATTAGACAAAAAGAGCAAAACTCAAATTTTTAACAAAATTGTTATTTGTGATTTATTTCAAGTCAACTTTATATCTGAAGACTAACGGAATTAATCATTTCCATGAATCTCTTTAAAAAAATGGCATTTATTCCCATCAAAACTGACAAGCTCCACTACCTCGAGTTTGACATATGACGTAAAAGTGTAATGCAAAGGTGCCCAACTTTAGCATCGTCATAGCATTTCCTCTTTATTCTATTTTAATGGTGTATACGGATGAATAAGATTGTTTATATCTTCAGAACTAAATCATCATATTCTACATTACATCATGTCAGATATAATAAATGATGTATATTATAAAAATATTTCGTGATATAATCGATTCGTTAAACTTTCAATTTGTAGTGCAGTGGATATCAAGTAATAAGAAGCGAGAAAGTAAATATCTATAGTGTTTAAAATGCGCTGAAGGAATTTTTTAACAATAAAACGAGCCTTTTGTTTTGTTTGCGATTATATCATTGATTGTTCAAACCCACTCAACTCCTACAAGTCTAAATAATTGTTGTTTCTTCGATTGCCTTTGAAAATATTATTGCAAATATATATTATTACCACTCATTTATGTGTTCTACGTATTCGAAAAATATTTTTAAATCACAAAATATATAATAAATTTATTGTATGTTACTTTTTATAATAAAGAAAGCATTTAAGTATTCCCCAGAAGCTAAAGAGAGGACCATTTTAAGAATTTTCAAGAGTTCCAATAGTAGTTTGTGCAATAAGTGGCCATATCGAAGGAAGACGCAGTTTATATAAAATTAAAAAGAATCATATTTAAAATAATTTGACTTTTATCAATTTATAAAATAAAATAACTAAAAAAAAAAATATTTTTATTAATTAATCTTCATCCTGGATTTGACGTACCTATCGTATGCGGACTCAGTTCGCTATTTCTAGACCAGCGTTACTCAAAGTGTGGTTCCCCAGGGCTCCGCAAAGCCTTTTTGGGGGCTCCGCGAAGAAAATAATAGTCATAATAAAAAAAGCAGTACTATCGCTACAAAAGGGACGGACTTGGGTTGAGGACCTTTAGAAATATGTTTAGGGCTCCGTCAAATATTTCGCTTTTCAAAAATACAGTTTTCGTCCGTATTTTTTATTCGAATATGTGCTTATAGATATTAAAAATATATATATAAAATTA